TAACTGTAATTTTCTAAATTATAAACTCATCGGCCTTAACCTATATGAAAAACAAAACCCATAACAAAAACCTGTATTTGTGAAACACAAGTACCCTATCATAGATTTTTCAAATTAAAGTCACTAATCAAGGACACACACCTTGGCTTTCTCAGACCCTAATTATTAAAGAGAGATTCAATAGTAAAGAAACATCTTAAAGATCTATTTCTAGTATTTATCTTTGCTGGACTGAAAAATTCAAACTTTACTACTTTGTTTAAATATTTAACAAGTCTTGGAAATTTGAATTATAACTATTTTCTTTGCATTTTTGTTTTTATGATCCTAGGGATTTGAACCCAGTAAGTTGGCAAGTGCTCTCTGTTACTGAGCTACCATTTCCAGCCTTTGTCAATATATAAATTTCTCGATGTACTCCTCTACTTATAATGCTCCATTCAAAAGAGATAAAAGATGAAAAATCAAAAACTTACAGGATCACAGATACTATGTACAACTAAAAGAAATGGGGAACAGTGAAAGAAATCAAGAAAGTTCAAGACTTAGATTCACCTACAACTAGCACTGTATACCAAAGGAATGCACACTAACTCTAGACTTTAAAGAAGGAATAGCTAGACTTTGGTCAGGGAGGGGACTTGTAAATTCCAAGTTAATACATCTTAATTTGTTTCTTTAGAATGCAAATTTTTAGTGTTTACTATTTCTACTTACATAAAAATTACACGATAGGGCACAGCGCTGAGAACTTAGCTCAGTAGTAGTGCACTTGCCTAGCCTAGGCAAAACTCAGGATCTATACCCAGCACTATAAAAAGAAAAAAAAAACATATATATTTGTATTTGTGTGTGTGTATATATATAAAACTATGAAATACAAAGTTTTTTCTTTCCTGTTTTATGTCTACTAACCAGTTTGAAGGGATAGACTAATGACCCAATTTTGTCCTCAAAACAGGTAAAAAGAACAAGAATTCTTACACTTATACACAAGAATACATTTAACTACAAAAATTGGTACTGATTAGAAACAATTCAGCCAGGCACCAGCAACTCATGCCTGTCATCTTAGCTACTCAGGAAGCTGAGATCTGAGAATCACAGTTCAAAGTCAGACCAGGTAGGAAAGTCTATTAAGAGTCATCGCCAAGTAACCACCAGAAACCTGAAAGTGGCCCTATGGTTCAATTTGACAGAGCAACCAGCCTTAAGCAAAAGACCTTATTAGGGACATTACCTAGGTCCTGAGTTCAAGCCAAAAAATCCATTATCAAGTAAAGGATTATCTTCTAAAGATTGTTTTCTGATAAATAAAATTTGTATTCATACATAAAACTGAATTACTTGATATATACTACAACATAGAGAAGTCCATTTCTTGACGTAAATGAGAAATTAGTTACAAAGATTACTTACTGCATGATATCATTTAATAAATATGTACAATAGGTAAATCTATAAAGATGGAAAGTGAACTGGTGCTAGTAATGAAGTTTCCTTCTAGGAAGATGAAAATGTTCTGCAATTGAATTATGGTGATGCCATCACTCAGTAAACATACCAAAACCTACTGAATTAGCCGGGCACAGGTGGTTCATGCCTGTAATCCTAGCTACTCAGGAGGCTGAGATCTGTGGATCACTGTTCAAAGCCAGCCCTGGCAGGAAACTCCTTGAGACATCTCCAATAAACCACTAAAAAACCGGAAGTGGTGCTGTGGCTCAAGCAGTAGAGCACTGGCCTTGAGCTGAAGAGTACAGTGAAAGCACCCAAGCCCAGAGTTCAAGCCCACGACCGACCAAAAAAAAAAAACCACCCTACTGAATTATATAACATTAAACAAGTGAAATGTATAGCTGGTATGTAAATTATACCTCAACAGCGCAGTTAAAAAAAAATACAGATTAAGGCATAAAATCAGGACAGCCAGTAAGCTAAGATTGGCAGATTTGCAGGAATGATTTTGAAATTTAGGTTACAAAGGTGGACCTGTTTACATTTAGTGCTACAGTCTATTTAAGAGTCCTTATAAAAGTTTTTCTAGGGCTAGGAAGATGGCTGAGTGGTAGAGCGCTTGCCTTGCATGCATGAGGCCCTGGGTTCAATTCCTCAGCACCACATAGGCAGAAGTAGAGCTATGGCTCAGGTGGTAGAGCACTAGCCTTGAGCTGAAGAGGTGAGGGACAGTGCCCAGGCCCAGAGTTCAGGCCTCATGACTGGCCAAAAGAAAAAAAAGTTTTTCTAACCAAGTATTCTAGGGATTGGTACCACAATTTACTATTATCCACCCTCCCCCCATGGGAGAAATGCTCCATCAATCCCACTTCCCAAATCCAAAATAAAGTTTATCTAAAAATTTAGAACACACTAAACCTAATCTTTCCTTTCTCAAATCTTCGAATCTGTTGTTTCTAACACAGATTGGAACCCTTCATGCCACAATGTGCGAGGACTGGAGATAATCAACAGGAACACATACAAGTTGAAAGGTATAGAGGGTCAGAAGACTGAGTCTATGTGAAAATAAAATATTTAGTAGTGCTCTCATCACCCAGAAGTGGCAAATGTCTAGAGAGAGGTTAGTGAATAATAACAAATAATCATACTTAATATAACTATTGGACAATCTACGAAAAGTGGTAAATAAAAAAGTTCTCAGTGGATAAACTAGAAAGCCATTCTACATGTTAAAACCAATTTGAGTCCTACATTTTGTTACCTTAAAGAAAAATCCCCATTTCCAAAAACGTGGGACGAACAGTGAAGGATATAACAGTTAACAGATACACTGACCAGATTTGACCATTACCAAGTTTAATTTCAATGCCAGGCATAAAAGGAAATGCTTGAGCTGGACACTCAGTAGCCGGCTACTTCTAGGTACTCTGGAGACTGACACCAGAAGGAAAATTCCAAGAGACTTCACTCTCCAAGTATCCAGCAAAATGCCAAACTGAGGCATGGTTCACGTGATAGAGGTGAGCAAAAAAGCCTAATGCCCAGAGTTCAAGCTCCAGTACTCGCACAAGGAAAAATAAAACAAACTGTGTGACAACTTGCGCCCCCCATTCAAAGTAAGCATGACTTAGTGTGGCCTAAAGAATTCTGTACATCATACACGGCTGCCGTGCAGTCAGGAGACCGCGAGCAGCCCGCACTGACTGGCAGCGGGCGGAGCAAGTCGAGCGTGCAGCGGGCTCGGGGATGGCTTTTTCCTGGGCCTTCAGAACCGCAGCCGCTCGGCGTTACATAACCGCCGTTCCCATTCTACGGACCGGAGCCGCGGCGCGGGCGCTCGCGAGGTCACGCTCCCCGCCAGCGGCGTGCCGCGGTTCACGGCGGGCCGCCGTGTCTCCGGGACGGCTGTCGCGCGCGCCCCTCACCTGCCCACCGGCGCCGATCCACAGGTGCGACGCGGGGCCGCCCGCCGGACCCCGACGCGCCAGCCCGCGCGGCCCAAGGGCCGCGGCCAGGGCCCCGCTTCCCCGGCCTCACTCCCGAAGCGGGGCGCCGGACCACCAGCCTCCGACCCCGAGCCCCATCGTTCCGGACCCCACTCACCTCCGAAGACACTGACGCAGGCCCGGCGGAGGCACTCGAGGCGAGGTCCCGGTGGCCCAGGAAGGTAGGTCGATGCCGGCAGGACCCGCGAAGGCGCACACGGCGACTTCTCCGCCTACCCTCCGGGGCGGGAGCAGGCGGAGGCGCCTCGCCCTCCTCGCGAGACAGCGGAGACCCCGGCGGCTGCTGCGACCCCTGTGACGTAAAACGCTCATTACCAAAAGCAGCCCGGGGGCGGGGCAGGAAGGGAGACCCAGCCCCCTGCCCAAACCGCGCGTCAAAACACTCCACACCTGCTCTCGCGACAGCACCGACCGCGCCGGGCGGCTGGGGGCGGGGCTCGGAGCGCGCGGCCCGCCCTGCCCCCCGCCCTGCCCCCCGGACGCAGCGCAGGCTCGTGGGGGGTTAAAGAGCCCCCCACCGAGGTCTACTTCCCCTTTACCACGCGCACACACACACCTCCTCCCGATCACTAAACCTCCCCAACTACCCCGAGAAGTTACTAAACACTACGTAGATTAAAAGGAAGTGCTACACCCGTCTCGAGTGAGCACTTCAATTCGAGGGAGAGCCACAATCAGGGCCCAGCCCAAGTCCGCCGACGTCGTCGGGAAGTCAGGGCGCAGCGCGCTCCCCACACAGATCCGAACTGTTCTCTCAAAGACGGCCCTGTCCCTTGAAAAGGCCTCCCAAGTAAACCAAGGACGCGCGGGGCGGGAGCCCCGGCGCCCACGCCACACCGGGCCACTCGGCCTCAGCTGCGGGCGTCGCCGGCGTCTCCAGGCTGGGGGCTTGGCGGGCCACGGTGTGCACAGGGCATTGCACCCAGGCCTGGGTCCAAAACGCCGTCGACAGACGCTCGTGGACCGGCTGGGCCACGAGGCCCCGAACTCGTGCGCCTAAAAGCCTGTCGCCCCACCTTCCTGGGACTCCCGCGAACTGTTTCGCACAAGGCCCCGAGTTGCACAGACGGCCGGGTGCAGTTATCCATGCCCAAGGCGGACGCTTCCCGGTGCTACGCGGGAACCGGGGCGGGGCGGGGGAGGCATGGATGCCTCCAGCGCCAGGCGTCGAGGTCGCGTGTAAAACCGTGGACCGCGTCCAAGGAAAGCTCGGGCCTGCATCCGAAGGGACGCGCGGCGTCCGTGCCGCGGGCCACGGGGGCGGGGAGAATGGCGGGAAGGACCAGCTTACCCCTCCGGAGAGCCACAAGCGAGCAACTTTAAGCCCATTTTCTCCCCGACTCCCCGGATCCATCGTGCGAGGCAGGCTCCGGCCCCGGTCACGTGACCGCGCGCCCAACTCCGGGCGGAAGACGCCGGCCGGCCCCGCGGCTCGCGTCCCGGCAGCCTGTGGGCGGACGTTCGCGCCCGGTTGAAAGATGGCTGCGGCTGCTCAACGGCCGCCGCCCCGGAGCTCGGTGTAGGCCCCGCAGCCCCCCGCCTCGCCCCGCGCGTCGCCGCCGTCCGCTTACCATGAGGCCGGTGAGCCGCCGCTGTCTGGATTGGATTTATTCCGTGGTAAGTGGCCGGGCCCGGCGGGGGCCCTCCCAGCGTCGGCGCCCGGGGCCCGCCGGCGTTAAGGCCTCCCCGTCTTCTTCAGCAACCACAACCCCCAAACCCCATTCCAGAATCAAGCGGTTCACCCGCTCACCTCGACTCCGCCTCTTCCTGCAAGACACGCTCTTCCGCCTCTTACGCAAGGTCTGCGGGGTGGGCTCCGCAGTGGCCTCAGTTAATCCCCACCTCCCAGGCCTCCCGATCGCCGCGGGGCCGGGGCCGGGGCGGGGCGGCGGGGGCGGCGGGGCAGCGGGGGCGGCGGCTCCGCCTCTCCACTCGGCCGGCAGGGGGCGGGGCCGGGCCGGGGCTATCGCTGTGTTCCTGGCCGCAGCGGGGGCGGGGCTACCTCGCTGTGCTACTGCTCGCCGCCGGGGCGGGGCCCGCGGCTCTCACCGGGTTACCGGTCACTGCGGAGCCTTCCGGTCCGGCCGTTCCCGGGCTCGCGGGGCGGGGCGAGGCGGGGCGGGGCGGGCGGCCGCGGCCGCTCACCTCCCGGCCCGCTCTCGCCCCGGCCCCGCCCCCGTCCAGCTGCTGCTAACGGTCGTGGCGCTCTCGTGGGGATCCGTCATCTACGCCTCCACCGTGGCCGCCCGGAGACAGCTGCACCGAGAATACCCCGACAAGATCTGGGGCATGAAGGAGCTCTTCTGAGGCGCCCGGAGTCAGCCCCTGACCGTGGGGTTCCTTCCCTCATGTAGGGCTCGAAAGCGTATAAAGTTCAGTTTCCAGACTTGACGTGTGCACGGTAGCTTTCATGACCGCACTGTACCCAGTTGGCTGAAAACTGGACACAGAACCCGTCCTTGCACTCGTTGACTGAACCACCTTTCCAGTCTCATCAGAAACATCATGTGGTTACTTTTCTGCTTCCTGTTTTTCAGATCATGAAAAGGCAGATATTTCGTGAAATTATTATAGTGTTAAATTATTTGCTAAACGATACAACGTTTGAGAAGTAACAGAATATTTTTCTGAGAGCACTCTTTATTAGTTACTTTTCCAGGAATATATTCAGTAAGTACAGATAGTACAAACGGGCCGTTATATAAGCCTTGAAAATTGTACATAATCTTCAGTGATGCTGATCAGGAAAATCTTTCATTGGAGGAATTATTTCTCCAGTCTCCAGAATTCTATCACCCTAGGAAAACAAGGAAGCATTTAGTAGAAACTCTTAAGTCTGCACAAGGTTGTAGATATATTCATGTTAGTACTGCATGGAAAAGGTAGTTGTGTTCTAGCACTCATTTTTTTTTTTTTTGGTCATGGGGTTGAACTCTAGGCCTGGACACTGTCCCTCAGCTCTTCAGATCAAGATTAAGCGCTCTACCACTTGAGACCCAGTGCCAATTCCAGTTATCTGGTGGTTAACTGGAGATCAGAGTTTCATGGACGTTCCTGCCTGGACTGGCTTTGAACCATGATCAAAGCCAGCAGTTCAAAGCCAGCCTGGGCAGCAAAGTCCATAGACTCTTATCTCCAATAACTTAACAAAAACTAAAAGTGGAGCTATGGCTCAAGTAGTAGTCTTGAGCAAAAGAAGTTCAGGGACAGCACCCAAGCCCAGAGCTCAAGCCCTAAGACTGGCACCAAAAGAAAAAAAAAAGACTTTAATAAGGCAGAAGCTGTTTAAAAATATTAACTAGTACTTCACAATCTTAAGGTACAAAGGAAAAAACAATTTTCATTCAGAGACACAGTAACTGGAAAAGGCATGAATGTTATGTATCTCCAGTTGATTGGTATGACATACTTTTGTTTGCATGACCCTGAGAAAGAGAAGCCCTAGAAAGAAGTTACAGGAAAACATATTCCGTTCAAAAAAGACAGTTATCTTATTTCCAGCAGATGAAAATGCTAATCACCAGTTTCCTATTGGCTTAGATACTGGAAACAAGATGCAAACTTTGGCTTAGCAGGTTGTTCAAGTGTCTTTTCAAACCTAGATATATGTGGTCCAAGAGCACGGGCTTTGAAACCAGAACTACATAATGAGAACGTGAAACCACTAACCAGCTAAATAAATGTTAAACAAACGGCTTTCCTTCAGTTTCAGGTTTACAGTCCCTACATGACTGGGTAGAGTAATCTCCATTCCTACTCCTACTCCCACTCTTGCAGTTCCCTGAGCTGGTGGTATTGCTCAGAACTGTTAGCTGGCAGAGAAACACACTTGTTTTATGTTTCATAAGCCACTATACATTTTCTTGAGTTTATTAACACTATAGCATTACTCTAACACAAAATTATCACATCAGAACTAATTCTAATGTAAAAAAAAATCAACCTATATGGTACTGGCTTAGCAATTTATGGGCAGAGACAGAGGCTTTAAGGCTGAAAACATGTAAACAAAGGTAGTGGTACAGAGAATGATCACAAGTTCAAAGCCAACCTCAGTTCATAGTGAAACTCTCTAAATAAATAAAGGCAGTGTCAAATTTCATGACAAAATGTCTCCTATAATTTGGAAGCAGAGTGCCTAGTTGCTTGAGGTTCTAAAAGTAGCTCTTTCCAGAAAGGGGAAAAGTTACTATATAAAGTATGTGAAAACTGTTGGCTGCCGTGGAAATACACATTTAAGAAACATGAGCTCAGGCAAGAAGCAGTTGTATCTGAAAGAAAAAATAAAAGGCTAGTATTGGGACACCAGACTGCTTCCAAATCCTTAAACAGAGATAATGCCAGTTAAACTCAATAAGCAGAGAGACTTGGTCCTATGGCAAAGATTAAATCAAAATGAAGACAACCTTTGAACCAGTCTTTTAGATGGCCTCCAATAGTTGCCTGTGACTTAAAGGCAGGTGCTTGAGGACAAGAAAACTTGTTAACTAGAGAAAGAATGGATGCTGACATGTAGTGTTGACTAGAAACACATTAAATGCCTGACCGGTATTTTTTCCTTCTCACCAATTATTAAGGGGAATGGATAGTCAATAAGCTACACAGACAGACTACAAAAGCCTGTACATGCCTGAAATTTTCTTCTAGCACTTGACCTGTAATCAAGAGGCAAAAATCTTTTTTTCTTCCCTTATGTGTGTTTTTGCTGGTACTGCAGCTTGAACTCAGGGCCTGGATTCTGTCCCTAAGCTCAAGGATAGCAATCTACCACTTGAGCCACAACTCCACTTCCAGCTTTTTGGTGGTAAATTGGAGATAAAGAGTCAAAGGAGCTGGGAGGGAGCTGGTGGCTCATGCCTGTAATCCTCCCTCTAAGGAGGCCGAGAGATCAGAAGATCATAGTTCAAAGCTAGCCTAGGCAGGAAAGTCTATGGAGACTATCTCCAATCAACCAACAGCATATGGGAAGTGGAACTGTGGCTCAAAGTGGTAGAGCATAAGGCTTGAACAGAAAAGCTCAGGGCCAGTGCAAAGGCCCTGAGTTCAAGCCCCAGGACTGGCACCAAAAAAATAGTCTTACAGGCTTTCCTGCCTGGGCTGGCTTTAAACTGTAATCCTCAGATCTCAGCCACCTTAGTGTTTAGGATTACAGGCATGAACCAACAGTGCCCAACTCAAGGAGACAAACTTTGAAGGCTGTACACCCCTAATAAAGTTACTAAATACCTACTCAGTTATGGCATAGGTTGATAACAACAAACCATCTGGACAAAGTAGGAACCAGGAAAGACAGAAAACCAAGGTGTCTCATTATCTGTGACTAGAAATACATATTATTGTATTAAACAATAATCTCACCAACAGTTCATCAAAATTTCAACTAAGCCAGGTACTTATGGCTCACATCTGTAATCCTAGCTACTCAGGAAACTGAGATCTGAAGATTGAGGTTCACTTCTCTCTAATTAATCACCAAAAAGCTGGAAGCTGAGATCCAGAGGGTGGTTTGAAGCCAGTCTGGGCAGGAAAGTCTGTAGGACCATCTCCAATAAATCAGCAAAAAACTAGGGTACAGATGAGAATCAAGTGGCAAAAGTTCAAACCCCAGTACAGGCCAAAAAATAACCCCAAAACAGATATATATGTATATATACACACATAAATTGCCTGAGTAGTATTAATGAAGACCTCATTTTGAATTATTAGGGCTTACCTATTCAAAGAATAAAACTTAAAACATTAATATATTTTAAATATAAAGAGGCATAAAGCCACAGAAGAATGACGTAACAGAAATTCGGCTGCTGCTACCATGCTCAGGCGTCAGGCTTGTGCTCTGGGTATTTTGTACTAGAACTCATTGTAAGATCAACAAGGTCAGCACAAAGCTGAACATTAACATGTCCACTCCTCAATTTCACCTGTAGTTATTACCTCCTCATACTCTTCCCTAATATATAAAATGGGCACATAAACTAAACAACATGAAGAAAAAAACATTTTAGTCTAATAATTATCAGTTGGAGATGGAAGAACAGTAATATACAAAAAAATCAGTTTTGAGACTTACTGGGAATATTCTGGGCTTCTTTTCAACAATGGCATATGGCCTTGTCTGCAATAAAAATAGTTGTTACGTATAATGTTAGAATTTCTGCTGAAAATAAAAGATTCTATCCACAATTGTAACTTAAACCTTGAGCTTTCACAGAATTCCATATTCACACCTGCAACTGTTCATTCAACATCTCTAGTTAGCTCTCAGGAGATATCTCACACTCCAACAAGTCCACCACAAACTTCCTCAGCCCCAATTGCTGTTCCCATATTCTCTTACCCTCTGTGCAAAGGCCCTAACCTTGATTCCTTAGCAGATTCTGTTGAGGGTGCCCAGCAACGCCTATTGGCTTCCTTGCTTTCACCTGTGTCTGCTACAATTCAAGCATACCCTTTTAAGATATATCACTTCTCATATTATGTTTAAAGCAAAAGGGAAAAGTCCATTCTGTGGTTTCAAAAACACCACATGATCTGACTCTGGGCTTACTTGTCTGATTACTCACTCTCTCTCCCTCCTTTGCTGTACCTATTGCCATTGTAGCCACTAGGTCCTGACAGCCTGCTGTGCCTCAGGGCCTTTGTACTCACAAATACCTCCACATGAATGAAGTAGTCTCTTAGATATCTGCTTCATTTCATCTGTGTTCCTATTCAAATATCACTTCCTTGGAAAGGCCAAATTAGAAGAGGCCAAACTAAAACAGCAGTCCCTGCCATTCTCTAATCCTTTGCCCCTCTTACTTCTTTTATTAGAAACCTGATCTCTTCCTATGACATGATAAACTTTTTTCATAAGTCTATTACCAGTCTCTAAAATTGGAACAAATATTTCATGAGGGCAATGACACAATCTGCATTGTTCATTGCTGTATCCCTGTTTGTAAAGTGCCTTGCACACAGGAGATACTAAATAAATAACTTCAATAGAGTTATATATAAAAAATACTTAAAATACATGGGGACATTAAAATGTCTTTATAAGAACTGTGCCCAAAGGCAAAACATCAAAATGTTTTCAGGGAAATGCAGAATTCAATTGAGCTGAAACAAATTGGCTGCAGTCTTATTAAAGATGCAGGCTCCTCCCCATCCAAATAGAAATAAGGTAAAGCACTAACACAGCTATATGTCTGCCTCTGTTTAAGGAAAATTACCTGGAAGTGAGACTCCTTCATATAGGCAACCTTAATACCCTGTGTTATCACCCCAGCAAATGCAGCTTGTTAAACCTGCTTCTGAAAGTATCCCTCCCATCCTAGAACAAGTTAGTTATAGATATAATAAAGTAAATCTAGCAGTATGAACAAATGCCAACTTTTTAAAAAGTGTGAAAACACTGGGACAATCCAAATGCTTTGTTTTGTTTTGAAGCTTTGTAATATATAAAAATAATCCAGCTATTTGAGGGTCTAATGGTTAAGTTTAAGATTCTAATTAGATGTATAATGGACTTAGGCTTCTGATTTTATGTTCAAAATATTTGCTTCCTAAAGTTACAAATTTGCCCTATGAATAATGAAAAAAAAATACCAGTCTTTGTACCAGAAAATACCTGTGGATCCCAGCTATACTAGTGACTGAGATGGGAGGATAATAGTTCAAGGCCACCTAGGGCAAAAAATCTGCAAGACCCATCTCAGAGACAAGCCAGCCATAGGTGGGGTTGCAGTCCAATGCTAGCTCAGGCAAAAAAAAAGCACAAGAGTCTATCTGAAAAACAAGAAGTGCCATGGGCATGGCTCAAATGGTAGCACGTTTGCCTAGCAAGTACAGACGCCTGAGTTCAAAATCCCTATACCACTTAATAAATAAACAAAAATGTATAAATGTAGCTTAAAACATTAACAAGAATGTAACAGAATTTGAAAACTGAATTTAAAGAAATAAGAGGTTTTAAAATTTTAAATAAATACATTAGGGGCTGGGAAGGTAGCTCAGTGGTAGAGTGTTTGCCTTGCATGCAAGAGGCCCTGGGTTCAATTCCTCAGCAACACATAAGCAGAAAAGGCCAGAAGTGGTGCTGTGGCTCAAGTGATAGAATGCTAACCTTGAGCTGAAGAGCGCCCAGGCCCAGAGTTCAGGCCCCACAACCAACAAAAAAATCAAATAAATAAATCAAATATTAACTTATTTCCAGATAACTATGAGTAGTTTTTTGTGCATATGAAAAACACACTTGGATGTTATTTTTTTTTTCACTGAGAGCACTAGCTGAACACAAGAAAGTATAGTTAGTGCTTAAGGTCCTGAGTTCAAGCATCAGTACCAGCACAAAACAACATAAAAACTTCCATTGGCAGTAATATTTTCTTTATAGGGCCTTAAGTGCTAAGACAGTGAAGGAAAAAAATAACGTGTAAATGATTAGAAATGGCTACTATACATATAGATTAATATACAAAGATTTTAAAACCCATCAATTACTAATCTATTCCTTGGAGATCTAAATTGTCAGCCCCATTAATTAGTTGAGAAAGACATTTTTGATTTATAAGGCCAGAACACGGATGTAAATTTCAAAAAAAAAAAAAAAAATTCTACTAGCCCCTAACTCATGATCTGAACACTGAAGACAGGCCATATCCGCTTGAACTCTAGAAACTGCTAGGCCAACAAACTTATTTCCTCGAGATCACCACCAAACCTCCCTTCCTGAACACCCTAATTACAAATCCCAAAGCTAGAAGCTGTATAGTCCTAAGGAAGTGAAGGGGCACTTGGATTTTATCCTCAACCAATTGTTCCTCCCTTTAAAAATGTCTTCTGGCTTCACCTCTCCTTTTTCTTCCCTGCTGCTTCATCCTCACCTTCACTAAAAACTGGCCTCCACCTGAACTGCTGTCAGAAAGTTCACCCTGGATAGCAGTGTTTTTCTACATTTCCCTCACATTCATCAAGTAACTCTTCCCTTTTACAATGGAATTCCCCAATGACTATTGAATACAGTCTTCTGCCTAATTTTCAAGACCTTCCCTAAATTAGTCTCAGCCAACTGAGCTGACAGATAATTTCCATCCCAATTATCTCTGTCTTGGGTACAATCATTATTCACTCCCTATCTTTCCTGGTAATTGGGATAACTTTTCTTCTCTATATTCTCAACCAAGGGGCTGGGAAGGTGGCTCAGTGGTAGAGTGCTTGCCTTGCATGCATGAGGCCCTGGTTCGATTCCTCAGCACCACATATGCAAAAAGAAAAAAGCCGGAAGTGGCGCTGTGGCTCAAGTGGTAGAGCGCTAGCCTTGAGCTAAAGAGCTGAGGGACAGCGCCCAGGCCCAGAGTTCAGGCCTCACAACCGGACCCAAAAAAAAAAAAAAAAAATTCTCAACCAAATAAAATCTATCTCAAATACTATATACATTGCTTGAGGTTAGGTATCTAGTCTTCTATACTGGTTGCTTAGTGTCTTAATATCTAAAATGCAGCACTGTTCCCAGGCCTTCTGAGTGGACAGAGATGGAGAATATATAAACACACATTCACATTTACATTCACATTTCTATATCTATCTCTGAATATAGAGTGAAAACCTTGAGTTCATATCAATACTTATAATTCTGTTTCAGCACCACAAGGGTTTTCTCCCTATTCTATACCTAACTCCCTTCTCCAGCAGTGAGAATTTGAGGTTCTTTTATTATTACCATCATATATGCTTATTTATTGCATCTCCTTATATGTAATAAATCTCCTATCATTACCACTATTCCCCAACATGTATAACCTCCTCAACTGTCACCAAAATGTACATCTCCATCATCACCAGGCTCCAGTAGCTATACCAGCTTGCTGTCACCACTGCTCCCCATACAGGTGTGCTCACCTTCCCTACAATCTGCTCAGTATCTAACAGCCCTCACTCCATGTTTTAATACTCCACTCAGGGCAGCCCACTGCTTCTTTCCATGCTATTCCAGAAACAATATATGCTCTCCTCACCCTGTCTGGGATCCAACACCATGTACCACACTGTGCTCTCCCTAGCTTTTAATAAATGGACACTGGCTCCATTCAATCAGCCCATGCAAGAACTGTCAGTAGGAGAGTTCAAGTTTTTGGACATGCTGAATTTTAAGGTATGAAAAACCAGGCAAAAATGAAGGAAAGAGAAATAAGACGATGAAAAAGATAACCTTTGTCTTAATTTTGAATTTTATCTTATATTAGAACTGTGCTCCAAAAAAGGAGCAGAAAGTATTTTTCCCCTTTCTCCTCAGGATTCTGATGTTCACACTAGGTCAGTTATATTCTTTTTCTTTTCTTTTTTTTTGGTCAGTTACATTCTGATTACTCAAATACTACTTCTATGAGGAAATGCAGCTCAAGTTATAAACGAAAGAATAATATTTTGGAAAACCATACTGACTTACATACTTAACCATGAATATGTAAGTTTCATTAATTATTTTTACATAAAGAGGCTCAAAGTACTTTGAAATTAGCTTATACGTGGCAGTTTTTCTCCATAAACTACAGATATGGTATACCCATATAGGAAACTGTTTTGAATTAGATTTAAAATAAGCTCATACTTAGAACATACTTACAGACACATGATATTTGATGTAATAATGAATAATCCAGGCAGGTATAAGTATACGAGTAACAGCAAACACAGTGTTATGGTATGTGCTGTAGACCTGTGGAAAAATATATGCAAAAGAAATAAGCAGAGAATCCATTTTTTATGTATGTGGTACAAAAACCCAACCATCAATGGAATATCATGATTACTCTACAAATCTCTAAATAAAAAATATTTCCGTATATTTTATAGTGAACCTTATCCAAACAAATATTTTTACTCACTGTAGGGTCTGTCAGGAGATATCTACAGCATCTAAAACAAGGCTTAGGACAAGCAGCATTTTGCAAGACTATATAATAATAAGGCATTTATCAATACTTTTTTTGAAGAATAAGGTCTCTAAAGATATCCATATTTTAATTTTGTTAGACATATCATAAATAAAAATTTTAATGAATTTAACAAGAACTACAGAATTTTTAAGGTAATAATTTATCAACTAATTTATCAACTTTAGTACCCAATTTTGAATGTAAGGCAGACATCCTTGAGACACACTGCTAAAAGAATGCTTTACCTACTAAGGTAAAGGTATTCCAAACTCACTTTGGATTGCTTTCTGCCACACTGTTTCCAAACAGAAAAACAAAACAATGGAAAATGAAATTTTTTCCATGGCAACTCATTTGATTGAAACACACATATAGCCTGCTTTTCAGGGTATGTAGCAGTATTGCAACAGATATGATTACAGAATATAAATTCATTCAAAGTTAAGATGGAATTCAAGAAATGGTTGCCTACTGCTTTCAATCCCCAGGCTGACAGGTAAGAGATCAACTTTTCAACTAGTGATTGCCAAAATCAACAGGAGGAGAGAAGAAAACATGTGGATTTCAACATGAACTCCTTCAATCCCTAGCTGTGACCATGGGTAAATCATTGAATTTTGGTAGTCTTCAGTTTCCTCACATTTGAGGATAGGAAACAGTTTCTATCATACAGGAATAATGTATATAAAGTCTTTAGAGTACTAGGCATGTGCACAGCAAGAGCATCACAATAGTTTTTTTCTTTTTTTTTTTTTTTTTTTGCTGGTCCTGGGGCTTGGGCCCTAGGCCTGGGTGCTGTCCCTGAGCTCCTTTTGCTAAAAGCTAGCACTCTACCACTTGAGCCACAGCACTACTTTGGATTGCTGTGTGATTAATTGAGGAAGGGTCTCACGAACTGTGATCCTCAGAGCTTAGCCTCCTGAGGGGCTGGTATTACAGACTAGCTAGGATTACAGATGTGACCCACCAGCACTCACACAGCACGGTATTTATTACTATTATTAGCCAATGCTGTGGGTAACTGGAAGCAATTGTAACAGTATTGATCATTCATAATTGATATAATTTAACAGACCAAGGAAATACACAGAATTATGAAAAATAAAAGCCAGACTTAGGCTAGTAGCACCTTGTCACTTGTGCCCAAGACCAGTCTTTGACTAGTGAGGCTTTTTTGTTTTGGAGGAACAATGCTAGGGTTTGAACTCAGGACCCTGCACCTGGCTAGGCTAACACTCTGCCACTTGGGTCTCTGATAACTGACTTATCCACCTGGCAAAGTCCAGAAATGCAATTTTATTTTATGGAAGCAATGTGTGAAAAGCAGATAGTGATGGTTTAGAGAGGTAGCTTTAAAGAGCTTGACTCCCTGAGCGATACCTAGTTACCTCGTCCTTTTATGTGATGAAAAGAGGCTATGTGCCAGCGAGAAGCTTGCGGTCTAAATTCTAAGATCAAGAGATTTCAACTGTAGCGAACTCTTGCCTGCTATTCTGAGGGAAGAGGCAGACAAGCAGAACCTATCAACTGCGTCCTCCTCCATCAGGCCTGGCCGGCAACGGGGCAAGGTGCGAAGCCGGACGTGCTCGAGGCCTGCTGAGGTGGGCGCGGGCCTCCAGAGGACAAGCCAGCGTCCTCGATCAAGCCGGGCCTCTCCCAAGCCGACTCTCCCCGGAGCAACGACACGGGCCGCGGGGGGTGTTCACTGGGGTGCCAGGAGGCCCCTCAACTCACCATCCTCCTCCAGATGGACCCGTTCCGCACGAAGTTCTTCCAGAACTCCTCCATGGGCCACCCCTTCTGCGGGGGCAGCACGGGCTCCCGGGGACTCAGCTCCTGGTCCTTCAGCCATTGCCTTCTGAGCTCCCGCAGCTGCTGCAGCCGCAGCTTCTCATCCGGGGTGTACCCCGTCATGTTGTTGCGGGGGAGAGGGCTCCGGGGAGGAGGCAAAGCAACAAGGGCGCAGCAGCACCCCGGAACCACGGGCCGGTCACCCTCGGCCCCGCGCGGAGCGACCTTGCGGGGACGCTTGGGAACGGCGCGCGGTTGTGACGTAGCGCCGGGATGCCCAACTGCTGGCCAGGACGGCAGCGTCTGGGCATGCGCAGTGCTCGCCACTCGCCCCTCCCACCTGATTTGAAAGGAAGAGGGCGGAGGAGGGCGGGGCCGGGCTCCTCAGTGATGGGATTAGGGCAAAGTGGTAGGGAAGAGTGTGAGGGTAGGGGAAAATGAAGGAGGGTGTAACGATGCTCGATAGGACTCTTAGTAACCCCTCTGTACAGAATCTTTACAATAAAAAGTACGTATTAAGAACAACAAAAAGAAAGAATTTGTGAGTCCTGGAAGCCGAGTTGGAGAAGGGTCTGTGTTTCCGTGAATGTAGTGTCCAACTGCAAAATCCCTTTTGTGTGTGTTCACCCCCCTCCACCTGAATTCCTCTCTTCATGATCTAGACTGTTAACTACCCAAGTTCAACTCCCAGCCCTATTAGTAACTGGCAAGGAGATCCCGAGCCACTATCTCAGTGAGTCCTTCCATCTGTACAGCAGAAGGAATATGTGGATTAATACCTGGGAACATTTCATAAGGTTACTCTGATCCAGCAATCCCACCTGTGTGAATATCCCAAAGGTATGGTGATAAGAACATGAAAGAATATACGCGAATAGTCACTGCAGCATGATTCACTGCAATATGATTCACTGCAGCATGTAATAGAAAATACTGGAGATTACTCCAAAAGTTATTCAATGAGGACTAGTTAAGCACAGTGCAATAAAGCAATGGGGTGCTACTGCAGTTGTAAAAAGTAATATCTGTGTAAACAGTTGTGATTTCTAAAATGCGTTCAGTGGAAGGGAAAAAACTAAGTGGAAAGAAATGTACATTGTTATCTTTTATCCACAAAAGGGAAAGTTACTTGTAATGCTCCCCCCCACACACACACAGAAATATACTTGCTGAATTTTTTTGTAAAGCAGTGGAAATGTAAACAATGGAGTTTTAGAACAATGCTACTTATATGGAGAAGGAAGAGGACAGGAATTGGACATAAATAGACTCGACTTTTCTGAGTAGGGCCTATCTCATAAATTTGACATTAGAACCAATTACTTCACATAATCTTCAAACAAAATTAAACTCCAAAAGTGCAATCTTTAAAACTCAAAAGTAAAAACAGTGGGATGGAACTGATCGACTTGGTAGCATAATATCAAAGATGTGCAATTAAAAAAAAACTTCAAACAAAAAACCCTTTTAAACCATCTGAGCAGTCGTTGAAAAAAATCAACCTCAAAATCAAAGTAACTACAAACAATAACCATAACCTACCTGAAGTAATTATTGTTGGTAGTGGTTGGGGTGGTTGTGGCATTGCCCATCTTAGCCTGAAAATAAATTTTTGTGATTATTTTGTGAAGATCTGCATTTTGTATTGTCTTGTTTTTTCATGGTGCTGGGGGTTGAACTGGGGACATCAAGTACACTAGACAAGGACTGCCACTGAGCCATAGCCCCAAATCTTTTGGGGGGGAGAGGGGAGTCTGGTCGTGGGGCCTGAACTCTGGGCCTGGGTGCTGTCCCTCAGCTCTTCAGCTCAAGGCTAGCGCTCTACCACTTGAGCCACAGCGCCATTTCCGGCTTTTTCTTTTTGCTTATGTGGTGCTGAGGAATTGAACCCAGGGCCTCATGCATGCAAGGCAAGCGCTCTACCACTGAGCCACCTTCCCAGCCCCTAGCCCCAAGTCTTTAACTGGTATTTTTGGTTTGAGAAAAAGATACTTAAGTAAATTATGAGTTTAAAAACCCTGTAATCATGAATTCTAAATAGGATGAGTCAACATGAGCTCATGACAATTTTATCTTTCAATATGTATGTATGTATGTATGTATGTATATATGGTTCTTCTTGGTTTTATCTTTTGGTAATGTCCTAAAAAATGACCAATCCTGTAACAGAGTATCTCTAGTTCCTAGATTTTTATCTCTAAAATGCTGCTTTTCATTGAAAGGAACCAAGCTTTCTCAGATAGCCAAGTATCAAATATATTGCTCCAAAGAGCTCTTTAAACACTTAAATTGTTGAAGACTCCAGAGAGCTCTTGTGTTGTGGGTTCTATCTATTAATGTTTACTGCATTAGAAATTAAAACATTTAAAAATACCAATATACCTATTAATAAAATTATTTTGTGAAGCTAGTTTTATTCTTAAGCAATTTGTTTTATATTTGTAAATACCTTAATATTTGCATTAGTAAATGACAGCAGAATTCTTATAACTGCTTTGGTATTTATCGATAATGTTATACATGGTAGTAGCCCTTGAAAAACTCATTGTACATTTGTAATCATTTTTATTTTTTATTTTTTGTCCATTGTGGGTCTTGAACTCAGGGCCATGGCACTGTCCCTGAGCCTCTTTGTTCTCAAGACTTGCATTTTACCAATTGAGCCACAGCACCATTTCCAGTTTTTGAGTGGTTAATTCAAGATAAGATTCTCACTGGGACTTTTCTGCCCGGGATGGCTTCTGATCACAATCCTCAGATGTCAGCCTCTTGAGTAGCTAGGATTACATGTGTGAGCCACCAGTGCCTGGTATTCCATAAGCATTTTAAGGAGAAAAGATCACCCTAGTATTGTCATTTTAAAAATTTGACTTCACAGACCCAATTTTAAAAAAAATCACAGGACTCCCAGGGGTCTCTAGGCCACTCTGAGAACTACTGTGGTTAATTCCAAGTCTGCATTAGGAAATGCAAAATGAGTCTGTAGTTTTTGCCATACCAGAGAACTCTTCAAAGACAATAAGGTCATGTCAAAAGGGTTCAGTAGCAACTTGAATAGGCTATCACTGGTCAAAGATGTAAAATTTTCAATATCAGTGACTATTACATCAGTGAATTTTGAAATATAAAATGTATTCACACAAATTCAAAATAAATTTTAAAATTTATTTGTTACTTTTAGATGTTAAGCAAGTTATTTTTGAACTCTATGGTAAGAAAAAAAATCAAGTACTTTTTTCCCTAGCCACTTTATTCAAATTACACCATAAAGTAACAAAATAGTTGACGGGAAATTTTTTTTTCTAAGAAGCACTTAAAACCCAGTACAAGAAGAAGCATGGATAGGGTTAGAATATCACTGTTTTGCAACCATTCACTAAGCACTGTAGAAATCATTCATCAATAGCTGCACACCTAAAGAAAAACAAAAACAAAAAAACAAAAAACTATGCCCTCTGGTGGAAGTCTACCTCAACGTTTGTGAAATAGAATTGCAGAACAAATTGAACTTGAATGCAATCAGCTTCTACACTAATGCAGAACATAGACTCATTACATAACACCAAGAGATATAGTCAGATGAATCTAGACAGTAGGGATTTCCTGAAAGTTATTTCACTTTTAAACAAAAACTGACGGGAAAGTGAGATAAAATCCACAAAGAAATTGGAACAGTACATTGGCATTTTATATTAGTAAATTAATGTTCATTTTTATTATAATGATATTGTGGATATGTTTTTAAAGAGATTTCTGGGGTTTTTAGAGACACATTCTATAATATAGGTGAAAGGTATGATGCTTAGAATTTATTTCTAAATAATGAGAGGGAGGAAGGGGGCAGAGAGAAGAGGGAGTAAATATCAGTAATGAGTTGACAATTGATGAAAGTGTATAAGAGGTAGAGGGGGGCTCATTATATTTTCTCATGTGTTGTTTTGTAAATATTTAAAGTTCTTCCAAATTTAAAAAAAAATCCCTAAGCCTTGAAGTACTAAGTAAGCTATTTAAGCTATTATTACTCCAAATTGTGCTTAATTGGAGCTACATTTTTTTTGGGGGGGGGGGGGTCCGGTCATGGGGCCTGAACTCTGGGCCTGGGCGCTGTCCCTCAGCTCTTTAGCTCAAAGCTAGCGCTCTACCAATTGAGCCACAGCACCACTTCAGGCTTTTTTTTCTTTTTGCTTATGTGGTGCTGAGGAATCAAACCCAAGGCCTCATGCATTCAAGGCAAGTACTCTACCACTGAGCCACCTTCCCAGCCCCATGGAGCTACGTTTTATACTAAACTCTTCATCTTACCTAGGCTAGGACCCTCAACTTTTATGAAACAATTATTGCTCAAGTGATGGTGAGTCCTTCAGTGCTTAACCATGCCAGTAAGGAACAGGTTCAATCCCCAAAAGGCATTTGATAACCCAGGTAAATGTTTTCCTTTGCAAGTCCACTTGCATTTAGTAATTTCTTGACTTAAACACTGTTTTGTCTTCTCTGGAAAGTCTCTTCTCCCCACTAAGAAAAGAGATCAATATGGTTAAGAAACATATATTGTTATACCACTGGCAACTCCCTACCATGTTCTACCCCTTCTCATTTACCTAAGCCTGTGAAACTAAGACTGAGTTGAATGAGAATAAAGCAGAGAGTATGTTAGCTGGAAAGTGTGGATTCAACTCAACGGCTTTTAACTTACTGAAAGAGAGCAAGGAAATATGGATTCCCTTCTTAATTCCTTGTTGCAGGCTCAATCCGGTGAACCACATACTGCACACCACCTGAAATCCACACTCTTCTGTCTGCCACCAACTTCGGTACATTTACCCAGGGCAAACCAACACCGTCCTACTGGCTTCCAAGAATGTAACCAGCACTATTCATTGAGTAACTACTACTAGACATTTCCACTAGAGGGCACTCTGGCTTGCTGAAAATTTGTAACTACACCAAGATTGGGTTTTATATAAATCTTGGAAACTAGTCCACAAAACTGGGAAGGATCTGAAGTTCATTGGGCAGAGAAAGAAGACCGAAGATAAGATTGAAAAAAAAAGTCTTCTGTTACTAATCACCTTTTCAAGGTTGATCTGTTTCATAACCTGGCACTTGCTAGGCAGGCACTCTACCACTTGAACTATGCTTCCAGCAAATTTTGCCTTGATATTTTCAGGATAAGATCCTACTTTATGCCTGGGCCAGGCTGGGCTGCAATGTCCTACTTCCCAGTGTGAGTGTGGATGCCAGGCTCACACCACTGTGCCTTGGAACTGGC